ATAAACGTTTATTCATTATCAATGATCAACACTAACTACTTGTCAATAATCAATAGTTATTCGTTGTCAATGATAAATGTTTACTCGTTGTCAGTGATCAACAATTACTTCTTCTCAATGATCAACGTTTATTTGTCTGTAATGAATCATTTCGTTTCGTCAGTAATTAATATTCCTTTTTCGTGTGTATTGAATTATCCCGTTTTGTCAATAGTCAATATTCCTTTTTCGTCAGTAATTAAATCACTTCGTTTTGTCAGTAATCGATAATAATTCTATTTCGTTTGTAATTAATCATTTCGTTTCGACAGTGAGCAATATTCCTATTTCATTTGTAACCAACTATTTCGTTTCGTTAATTATCAATATTCCTATATAATTGCTTATCACCGATCCTTCGTTGTAGAACATCAAAACTTGATAGGTGTCAGTTTATTCGTTGTCAATGATCAATGTTTACTTCTTGTCAATGATCAATGTTTACTTCTTGTCAATGATCAATGTTTACGTTTTGTCAATGATCAATGTTTACTTCTTGTCAATGATCAATGTTTACTTCTTGTCAATGATCAACGTCAACCTCTTGTCAATGATCAATGTTTACTTCTTGTCAATGATCAATGTTAACTTCTTGTCAATGATCAACGTTTACTTCTTGTCAATGATCAATGTTTATTCGTTGTCAATGATCAATGTTTATTCGTTGTCAATGATCAATGTTTACTTCTTGTCAATGATCAATGTTTACGTTTTGCAAATGATCAATGTTTACTTCTTGTCAATGATCAATGTTTACTTCTTGTCAATGATCAATGTTTACTTCTTGTCAATGATCAATGTTTACTTCTTGTCAATGATCAATGTTTATTCGTTGTCAATGATCAATGTTTACTTCTTGTCAATGATCAATGTTTACTTCTTGTCAATGATCAATGTTTACTTCTTGTCAATGATCAATGTTTACTTCTTGTCAATGATCAATGTTTACTTCTTGTCAATGATCAATGTTTATTCGTTGTCAGTGATCAATGTTTACTTCTTGTCAATGATCAATGTTTACTTCTTGTCAATGATCAATGTTTATTCGTTGTCAATGATCAATGTTTACTTCTTGTCAATGATCAATGTTTACTTCTTGTCAATGATCAATTTTTATTCGTTGTCAATGATCAATGTTTACTTCTTGTCAATGATCAATGTTTACTTCTTGTCAATGATCAATGTTTATTCGTTGTCAGTGATCAATGTTTACTTCTTGTCAATGATCAATGTTTACTTCTTGTCAATGATCAACGTTTACTTCTTGTCAATGATCAATGTTTACTTCTTGTCAATGATCAATGTTTACTTCTTGTCAATGATCAATGTTTACTTATTGTCAATGATCAACGTTTACTTCTTGTCAATGATCAACGTTTACTTCTTGTCAATGATCAATGTTTATTCGTTGTCAATAATCAATGTTTACTTCTTGTCAATGATCAATGTTTACTTCTTGTCAATGATCAATGTTTATTCGTTGTCAATAATCAATGTTTACTTCTTGTCAATGATCAATGTTTATTCGTTGTCAATTATCAATGTTTACTTCTTGTCAATGATCAATGTTTACTTCTTGTCAATAATCAATGTTTACTTCTTGTCAATGATCAATGTTTACTTCTTGTCAATGATCAATGTTTATTTATTGTAAATGATTATTGCTTCTTTCTTGTTGACATTAAACGTATATTTGTTACCAATCAACACACTTTATTTTTCTCAATGTAAAAATGTTTATATGTTTTTAATATAAAATGTTTATTTGATGACAATTATCAACGTTTATTTAATATCAATAACCAATCGGTCGTATGTATCGATAGTAAATATGTTCTCTCTGATAGTTTTTGTCCTTTCTCGCCAGCGATCAATACCCATTTAAGGAGTGTTCAAAAGACGCAGAAGTGAATAGCAAATTAGATTACAAATTTATAACAAGGAAACTGTATTATACAGTATTTCCTCCATTCAGGACCCGTCAAGGGAACTACAATATTAGTAGACAGCTGAAGAAAATCAAAGTTTCAAAAATTAATGGAAGATTAATTGACCTCATAATTCTACAAACATAATTTTCATTGTAGGATGACTTATAAGTACCGCCAAGTACATGTTTGTGTAAATATTCTAATGCATTAGGAGGTGCATGGGGGCTGACGACAAATCTCTGGAACACAAGTCCACCTGCGGGACTTACCACTTGCAATTTCAAACTTACTCAAAATTACGAAAGGACACACGCGTGGATAGCTACTTTCGGTACAAAATGATATAAGAAACAGCATAGCCAATCAATGCAGTAAAATATACCATACGGTTCGGATTGTCACAGACGCTAGAGTCCTTAAATGGAGATAATCAAAGAGGAAAATTCAGATTTGTGGAAATTGGAGACCTATCTTCTGTAGATATACTATTAATCACCTCATTTTCGTGAGTATTTAATTTTGCGAAAGATGAGAGACTGTCTTACATGATTTCGAGGGTACCATACTACAGAAGTCATTTATTTAAGGGCAACATCAGCAATCAGCGATTTAAATTCGCGAGTAATGCTGCTCGCGAATAAACGCGAGATATAATCCCTCGCGAAAAATACGTAATTTACAATAATTAATTATCTTTATTGTCAACACTTTCCAAATTATGGTTTACATCAACGTGAAAAAGACTTAATTTTCATTACTTCCTATGAATTCCCAGCGTGCAATTCCAGTCTTCGATTGTATTTGAAAGACTTGACAAGTGAATGAGGCGATGCTAGTGTCTCTAGTTATTAAGAAGGAGATGTCAGTCTAAATACCCTAAATCTCAAAAACGAGCCGACCTCAAAAATAAGTCTATTCTGAAAATAAGCATGTGGTTTCGTCCATGAACAAATCTACATTTGCTTACTGTTAAAGAAAGTCTGTCACGTCTTTTGTCGCGTTTTTAGCGTAAAATATCTTTAGGATTACAAGTTTTAATAGACTACTATGGAGAAAGCAGTCAGTCAACGTTATAATCACTCTTTTTACACAAGTTCTGACTCAAACCAAAAGTATGTATATTTTCTGCATATTTGTACCAAAGCTCCTGGCTATCATTTATTTCTATTTTTCTACCTTACTGTAAAACAATAAAATACATCACCGCAAAAAGCAAAAGTGAAAACAAATCAGCAATGACGCAAAAGAACTGAAAAAGCAAAGCGAATTAAGTAAGGATTCAATGCTGATAGATTGAATTGATAAAATAAAAAGTGTATGAAACTCCTATCGTGGACAAAGAACAAGTGCGTGTAATCATAGGCAAATCTATGTATGTTCACGTCATCGCACAGAATGAAAACTCCGTGCAGTGATGCTGCAGACATATTGCAGAAGTTTGTATCTCTAACGGTTAAAAAGTTATGGAAAAAAGAGGAAGACGGGTCTATTTAATATTTATCGTTCATTCACAGGGTGGATATAACAGGATGAAAGTCAGCACCAGCTCTTTTTTCCCTAATTTTATCGGGTTTTTTTTTTATTTATTTATCTTTTTTATCTTTTATATATGAAAAAATAAGTAGGGGTCGATTCATTTCTTTGTTGCTTTAAACGTTATGCTTGTCAGTACCAAGTGCTTGTAAACACTAGTTGCAATGTTTTTAGTCTGACGGGTTTTCCGCATGGCTGTATTTGTTGTCGATCTCTCCACGATTGACTTCCTCTGTATCTATCAATATATCTTTATATCACTCCATTCTTTACTGTTCACACTATTCTGATGTTAATGAATAAAACGTTAAATATATATTACAACTGTTTCAATTAAAAACGAGACGGATTTTTATTTAAAAATCACAAAATAGTAATTAAGACACAATTATCGTCCATATATGGAATTAGTTAATTAAAATTACTTATTGCTTAACGCATTTTGCTGGTTACAAATTATGATATTAGATTTCTAGCTTGTATAATATTGACAGAAGATATATCTGGTCACACATTTTCCTAATCACCAATTATGATATAAGATAACAAATAAGTTTGGTAAATATGCAGTATTGATCATCATTTAGTATTGGTAAACTGGTTAATAAACACTACTGCCAGTAGTGTTTATACAATACATCAATTAACACATGATTTCCGTAATGATACAATATTGATTGACACATGCCACTTCAGAAGATAATATTAGTTGACACATGTCATTTCAGAAGATAATATTAGTTGACACATGTCACTTCAGAAGATATATCTGTTGACACATAATACTGCCTAGAAGACATTGATTTTCACAAAAGATTGTTTAGAAAGGAACACTGCATGACACGTATCATTGGTATTGAGACTGTTTGAGGTAATATTGGTTGACATGTAACAATGGTTAAAGTCGATTCTATAAATCCACTATCACTGTGTCGGACATGTTTAGCACCATAAAGGTAACTAACCTTAACAATCTCCGAAAATAGCCTAGCGTAGTTCCGCCGTTAATGTTTACGACCATTAGAAAGGGAATACGGCCTGTCCTCCTGTCTTCCTGCTACAACGTCTCATACCAACGACCATCAAATAAGGCAATATTTAGTAGTTTGGAAATGGCAAACGGATCGTAAACCAAAACTTGTTAAGGTCATCGGTATCTTGAAATGGAATTATAATTCGAATAGACTTTGTGCTACTACACAAGAGATACAACCACCAATTGTAAATCAGGAACATTTTGATAGTATAAAAGGGAAAATGGGCTGCATTGAATCACAGGGACAAGGCACAAATTCCCAACCCACAGTCAATATATAGACTATGTATTATACTGACTATACATAAGTGGACCGTGGACTCGGAATTCGTGCTAAGTTCCTGTGATTTCAACAAATACAGATAGTATTATCAGAAGAGGTTTTCATTGGAATCTTTAAAACGCGTTTTTATGACGATATTAAAACGTGCTATATTTACTAACTGTTTACAAATACATACCTTATAGATGCTAGGCTCATACATAAACTCATGACTGCACGAGCTGGAAAGGAAGGTCGAGTTACGTCACCTATTCATCCGTACTGTTCTAATGCGCGTGCATTGCTTGCCAGTGTAGTTATGATCCGAAAAGCTGTAGTACACCAGTATATATATATATATATTATATGGATGCGGAGGCTGATCCTCTATAGTATGTCCATGATAGTTTCTTCCTTTCTATCGTTATGTTAAAACAGCATCATCTGTGCTGTGCCGTGCTCTCGTGCCTATTTTTAAATGCATCCCCAGAAAAGAAGAAAATCGATGGTCACATGATGGCGTACTGTAGATTCTCGGTTCAGCGGTTAAAGCGTTTGGTTAGCCACCAAGTATAGTCGAACAGCCGAGTCAGAGGAAACTAGATGTCCACGATTCGTTCGAACATCTTTATATATATGACGTCCCAAGTAGTAGTAGTAAGACATAGCTTGTTACACTACAAATAGAAATATTCAGTTCAAACATTTAAAATGACGAATTACACTGTACTGGGATATCTGTGTAGCAATGGAAATGTGTTCAAATTTTAAAAAGAAAATTGTTAAAAGTTCCGATTTTTTTTCTACATTGCGTATCTCTGTCTATTTACGTTACTGATACTCAAAGTATATACTAGGAACTAGGCACTGGTACTCAATGTAGACATACAGAACTAGACACTAATACTCAATGTAGACATACAGAACTAGACACTAATACTCAATTTAGACATACAGAACTAGACACTAATACTCATTTTAGACAAACAAAACTAGACACTAATACTCAGTGTAGACATACAGAACTAGACACTGATATTCAATGTATAAACTAGGAACCAGATACTGGTACTCAATGTAGACACACAAAACCAGACACTGATACTCAATGCAGACACACAGAACTAGACACTAATATTGAATGTAGACACACAGAACTAGACACTCATACCCAATGTAGACACACAGAGCTAGACACTGATACTCAATGCAGATATACAGAACTAGACACTGATACTCAATGCAGACACACAGAACTAGACACTGATACTCAATGTAGACACACAGAACTAGACACTCATACCCAATGTAGACACACAGAGCTAGACACTGATACTCAATGCAGATATACAGAACTAGACACTGATACTCAATGCAGACACACAGAACTAGACACTGATACTCAATGTAGACACACAGAACTAGACACTGATACTCATCGTAGACACACAGAGCTAGACACTGATACCCAATGTAGACACACAGAACTAGACACTGATACCCAATGTAGACACACAGAACTAGACACTGATATTGAATGTAGACACACAGAACTAGACACTGATATTGAATGTAGACACACAGAACTAGACACTGATACCCAATGTAGACACACAGAGCTAGACACTGATACTCAATGCAGACATACAGAACTAGACACTGATACTCAATGTAGACACACAGAACTAGACACTGATAATCAATGCAGACACACAGAACTAGACACTGATACTCATCGTAGACACACAGAGCTAGACACTGATACCCAATGTAGACACACAGAACTAGACACTGATACCCAATGTAGACACACAGAACTAGACACTGATATTGAATGTAGACACACAGAACTAGACACTGATATTGAATGTAGACACACAGAACTAGACACTGATACCCAATGTAGACACACAGAGCTAGACACTGATACTCAATGCAGACATACAGAACTAGACACTGATACTCAATGTAGACACACAGAACTAGACACTGATAATCAATGCAGACACACAAAACCAGACACTGATACTGAAAGTATATACTAGGAACTAGTACACAAAGAACAAGACACTGGTACACATTGTAGACACACAGAACTATACAGTGAAAGTCATTGTAGATAAACAGAACTAGACACTGATACTTAATGTAGACACACAGAACTAGACACTGATACCCAAGGTAGACACACAGAACTAGACATTGATACTAATTGTAGACACACAGAACTAGACACTGATACTCAATGTAGACACACAAAGCTAGACACTGATACTCAATGTAGACACACAGAACTAGACACTGATACTCAATGTAGACACACGGAACTAGACACAGATACTCAATGAAGACACACAGAACTAGACACTGGTACACATTGTAGACACACAGAACCAGACACTGATACTCATTGCAGACACATAGAGCTAGACACTGATACTCATTGTAGACACACCGAACTAGACACTGATACCCATTGTACTCACACAGAGCTAGACACTGATACTCAATGAAGACACACAGAACTAGACACTGGTACACATTGTAGACACACAGAACTAGACACTGATACTCATCGTAGACACACCGAACAAGACCCTGATACTCAATGTAGACACACAGAACTAGACACTGGTACTCAATGTAGACACACAGAACTAGACACTGATACTCATTGTAGACACACAGAACTAGACACTGGTACTCATTGTAGACACACAGAACTAGACACGGATACTCAATGTAGACACACCTAACCAGACACTGATACTCAATGTAGACACACAGAACTAGACACTGGTATTCAATGTAGACACGCAGAATTAAAAACTGGTACACATTGTAGACACACAGAACCAGATACTAGTACACATTGTAGACACACCGAACCAGACCCTGATACTCAATGTAGACACACAGAACAAGACACTGATACCCATCGTAGACACACCGAACAAGACACTGATACTCATTTTAGACACACCGGACTAGACACTAATACTCATTGCAGACACACAAAATTAGACACTGATACTCATCGTAGACACACCGAACCAGACACTGATACTCATTGTAGACACACGGATCTAGACACTGATACTCATTGTAGACACACCTAACCAGACACTGATACTCAAGGTAGACACACGGAACTAGACACTGATACTCAATGTAGACACACAGAACTAGACACTGGTACACATTGTAGACACACAGAACCAGACACTGGTACACATTGTAGACATACAGAACCAGACACTGATACTCATTGTAGACACACAGAACTAGACACTGATACTCATTGTAGACACACCAAACTAGACACTAACACTCAATGTAGACACACGGAACTAGACACTGATACTCAATGTAGACACACAGAACCAGAGACTGGTACATATTGTAGACACACAGAACCAGACACTGATACTCAATGTAGACACACAGAACTAGACACTAGTACTCAATGTAGACACACGGAACTAGACACTGATACTCAATGTAGACACACAGAACTAGACACTGGTACTCAATGTAGACACACAGAACTAGACACTGATACTCAATGAAGATACACAGAACTAGACACTGGTACTCACTGTAGACACTCAGATCCACAGGATGATACTCAAAGTAAACACTGACAATAAAATGTAGAGACACGGAAATTCAGAAAGTATTAAGTATCAGAGTCTTGTTCCGTTCCATTCGTTTTCCGTATTGAGTATCGTTCTTATTTAAAACATACGTATGTTTCATTTGAGTAAACTCGCTACTTCCGTACGTACCCTACCATTGAATATCTAATTGGTTTTGTTTTTAAAACGAAAACAAAAAATATTCTGATATCAAAACTACTGCTGCAAGATTTCTCAATATTTCTGTTGTGTTTGCAATTTAGAACAGTGACATCACTGCAATGGAATGACAAAGATTTACATGGCGGGTTTCATCGATGAAGCAGAAGACGCTTACCCTACCGAAACATTCAAGGGTCTCGGTGTAAATCTTTATTTTGTTAATACTTTGGCCCTGTTTCAGAGAATTTTAGTCTGAATTAAGATTCAGTCTACAAGTCGGTATTTTCATGGTTTTTTTCATTGTATGGTGGGTGTCATCATTAATTTTACCTTCGCTTAAATCAGCACCGCAATCTGCTATTACCTCAGTTGACATGTTCATACGTTTATTTATAAAATGGGATGGGTTGATTTCTGTTCGTTATATAGTTCATCGTTATATAGTTCACTCTCCACCGTCCCTTAGATCAATACATTGAAATCGACACCAAACGACACTTCCTGTCTGAGTCTGCCGGACAGTGAATCAGCAATGATTGAATATGTGCTGTGTAATTGCGATGATCTTTTGTTAAATACCTACATTGTAAGAAAGGACAGAATGGCTTTATCTAAAGATCCGGCACCTTCAAAAAGACTTCCGGATTACGGCGCTTTATTTGGCTGTCGTCTGTCTGTCCCTTCGCTCTTCAGTGGCTACACTGACAGTACTGTACGGTATCCGTCTGGCTTCTTAATTTATCGTGACCACGGTAGCACAATTTTTTGTCTATCATTCTTCAAATCGTCCGTCTAGCTTCTCGCTCCATAGGTGACAGTGATTATACCGACCATGTTGCCTGTTTTTCGTTTTAACTCGCTCTCTCTAGTCGCGCGTGGATGAGTTTGTTCGTTCCCTGTGCCAAATCGACTCGTTTGTGGACACCAGTCATGTTTCCTTTAAAGTTATGAAGCGGTGAAGGGGCGGTGACCATACGATTGCGAATATGTGCCACATTTGACTTATTGTGGTGAAAGAAAAAGAAATACAAAAACAAACCCAACAAAAAGCAAATCGGATTTTTGTATTATATATGTGTGTGTATTTTTAAAGTGCATCTGATCTCGTTTGTACATAGAAGTATACATATTAGAAAAAGATACTTAATATTTTTATTTTGTGGAGCAAATCTCGTTTGCAAGTATAAAAGTCTGTAAAAAGAGACTTATATCTTTCTATTGCGTTGTCACAGACTAAAAACGTTATATTTGTTACCATTGGCATTCTTGGTCAATTCAAGCTTCCGTTGGACACCGGACACAGACACACTGCTATGGTTTCTTGAGTCAGGGTTAAAAGGCTGTGAACCAGTTTGGTATTAACCCATACTTATGTAAACGTTTTGACGACTGTAAATAGATATTAAGCAGAAAAAATAATCCGGATACGGATAGGGAAAATTCACAAACAAACCAACACACATCAATACGATTTCAAATTGGAAGCCATTTCTTAAGGGTTGGCGATTTGTCTGTCTGTCTAGGAACGGTTCTGTGCCTTGTCTCCTTGGCGCGTACCAATGAAAGACTAACATTGGCAACGCAGCCGGAATGTATAACAGAGCGTATTAAAGGAATATAAAGAGATCACATTACGACCTAAAAATTTGATTACCATAGCGT